AACCCCCCCCCCCCCAAAACAAACAAACCCAACAGTCCAATATCTAATGTAATTTAAAGGCAAGTTTTTATAACATACTAGAAGTGAAGTACATATGCAACCAAGTTGCTTTACCTACAACATTTCTTGGCACATACATAAAGGCTTAAACATACAAAAGGAACACTGAGAAATGGATTGAGCTACTTGCTTCCAGCCCATGCAGTTCAACTTTAATTGCAAGAAGTAAAAATCAATTATGAAATTGAGCTTACATTCAAATCTCTGTAGTTCAGATTGATAACTAGTCCAAATGGACGGCCACCCATCGGCTCTGCAGGGATGAAAGAGTACTCAAATGTGGCCTGCCTCTGTGGTGGAACCACTGTGTTCAGAGGAAGAGCTGTGAAATTCTGTATGTAAAACTGGTAGTCTTGGGGGTACCGAAAAGATGCATCAAGAGACTCAACAATAAAATCCTCTGTACCCTTATTGGTGAAGCCTACCAGAAACTTCACAATATTGTTTGCTGGGAAATCTGGAAAACAAGTAGCAGTAGGTTAGGAAATTTCATGCAGTATTCCAGTGAAAAAATACCCAAAGATTCCCAGCTTAACTACTCAGTCCTAAGAAAACATCGTTAACTTTAGAGCAGTGGGGGCCAACTTTAGGCAGGTGCACCACAGGTTCCCCAAATGCCACTCCAATCCCCTTCTGAGCCGTCTGCTGCTGTCATCCCTGATCTGTACTCCCTCCCTGACCTGCTCCCTGCACTGTGCTCCCTCTGCCCAAGCTGCTTCTCTACTTTCTGCCACAGTGCTGCCTGTCCCCCTCCCCGATTTGTTGCAAGCCACATATGCAGAAGCTGCCTGTGTGCCATTTGTAGTATGGATGCTGCAGACTGGCCACCCCTGCTTTAGGTAACTGTAATTCTTATGCATTTGTGACATTAAGCTCATGTCTGCCAAGTTAAAAGTTTGATAAATTGGCCCAGGATTCTTACCTTCACCTTTCACAAATAAAATTGTTGTATCAGCACTAGGTGAGGCTTTAGGTTCTCCTGATAAGTCTTCTTCCTCTTTTTCTTCTGTCTAAGACAAAAACTTTTGTGAAAAGACTATAGCGAAGCCAGGAATATCCACTTTTAAAAGGAAACATCTATGACAAATGTTAAAAAGTATTTTTTCTTTTGTCCACTGATTTGAGATAGGATACCATAAAAAGCATTAATTAATACCAACTGCTGTTGCAAACATGTTCCAAAGTACCATTCATCCATTTCTAACCCTGAACTACTAGCTTCTCCAAGCCCATTAATTGCAGCTGAGTCAACTACAGCCTGAGCTTATTTTATAGTTTTTAAGTTACTCATACAAGATCACCAAATGTTTCCTCTATTACCTCTTTACTATTTAAAAAAAATCCCATACACAAAGTATACCAACTAATGTTAAATCACTTAGAAAAAGGAAATCATTTCTTAAAATACAACAGCTAATCATTAAAAAAAGTTTAACTGATTTAATGTTTTTAAAATGATAAACTGCTCCTACTGAACTTTATTCTTGAAGGGCACATCTACATGTGCAATTAATGTGAAGCAATAAACTCTGGGGTTTATTGATCCCAGACAAGCCATTTCAACATTTGCCAGGGAGCAATACACTCTGAGTTAAATGCCATTTGCACGTGTGCCTGGAGTTGCAGCACACCGAGCTGGGTTGGAACAGCCCTTGTTGGCAGGGGGCCCTGGGAGTCAGCACACCAGCATGGGGCTTCTCCCCCACAGCTCAATGAGCTGGGAAAAGAATGGCTGGGGCATGAGTTTGCTTCAGTGCAGGGGCTAGCTAGTAGGTAGCCCAAACAAGGAAGAACCCTCATGCCCCAGCCAGGTAGTGCAATATCTACACATGCATCACTGCACAGTTTTTTATGCTGTAGCAAGATAGTACTAGTATTTACAAGTACTATCCTGCTGTGGAGTAAATTAGTTTACTCCAGCCTAACAGGGGTACACGTGTAGATGCCGAGATGTTTACTGCACAGCTAATTAGTCTACTGTGCAGTAAACATCCTCTGTAGATGCACCCGAAGTATCTCACTTTCCTTCTCAAGTCAGCACACAGATTACTGATCCCTGCAAATAAGATGGCCTGATTTGAAATAAGGAATTTGGTATCTTGGTAATATCTGGCTCATGAACTACTTGCCTTGGAACTCTTTAAATGCCCTTATAAAAAGTTAAATCACCAATGCCACTGTCATTGAGGTGAAGTATATCACTTTGTAAAACTGTCACCTACTAGTAAAGTTAAAGATATAGTAAATGTGTTGAGAGATGCTGTTACTCACATTTATATTAAAAAGAGTACTATGAAGCAAATACTATCAAGTTTGTGTATAATAGTTGGGTTTATTTAAACTTACGTTCTAAAGTTTAGCCCTGGGAAGAATATTGCCAACTCAATTGCCAAACTTCACATTTCAAGAACACTGAATGAAATACTCAGTTCTGTTAACTGTAATAACTATTTTCGTATTTTTACTTATGAATTTACTATTATTGATGGCCAACTAGAAAAAGTTCATTGAAGGTATCTGATAAACTCAATCAGTATTAAGATATTTGTGGAATGATATCAAATCAACTCAAAAAGCTAGTAAAATATAATAGCCAAGTGTCACATGAATTTGATGAATACCTATAAAATCCTTTTACTGGATCAGCTAAAAACAAAACAAAAAACCCCCAAACAAACTAGTAAGCCTTTGCTTTTTAATATCCAAACTTTTTCTTTGCATATTATTCACTGTTTTACAATAAATCTTCCCACCCCAAGTGATCTTCGGGATCAATATCAGATATCAGTCTCCATCACATGCGTTAGGTGACTATTTCAGAACAGTAAAATTTTGACCTATGGTTTCTAGTTAAATTTGCCACAAAAAAAAAAAACAAAAAAACCCCCAGAACATAAACATTGTTGAGTGAAATAAAACCGATCAATATAACCAAGAGAAGTATAACATGCCTTAGAACAACACTACTATAGAGCTTAGATGAGAAACTTCAGAGACTGAACAAAAAAAACCTGGCACTGAAAAAAATGCCGTCACTTGGAAGAGCAATGTTTATGGAAAAAAAAGAAGAAAGAGAGTGGATCAAGCACTGAACTACAAAGGTTTGGAAACAGAAACCAAAAAAAAAGAATACAGTGAAATCTTTTCAAGTTGCTGTTTCAGCACGGGAGTACTGGCTGTGCTCATCTAGATGCTCCACTTGTATCTGTTCTAGTTAACCAAGTTCTATGGTGCCCGATCATGTTTCTGTTTGGCCATGTTGAAGAAATTAAATAATCAACATTTGAATGCGAGATTTCTAATCCATTTAAATTGAAGCTGTTGTTTGTAAAGTAAGAACCATGAACATTTACCAAGTCTGTCGGTTCATCTTCTTCAACTTCAGCTTCATCATCTTCATCTTCAACTACAGTATCTTCCACTGCTTCTTCATCTTCTGTAGCATCTTGAGCTGCCACTAGCAAGCTTGAACCTGGTAACAAGATGATGATGATACCATTATTATTATTATTAAGAAGAATAAAAACTACATGACTGCCCAATTTCCAGTTAGCTAGTCAGACTAATGGAAACTTGGAAAGCTAAAGTATGACGTCAAATTTAGCAGCAGGAGGGAAGCACTTAGTTGCGGGGGGGAGGACACGACACGACTAATAAAGCTTCACTTCTGAATTCTATAAAAATATGTTCTGGTCAATTTCTACTATGAGTGAGTAAAAAAAAATTACTGGATTTACGTATCAAGGATCTCAAGGTAGATTAAAAAGTAAGTTAAAAGCCCACTTTGGCATACATTATTGCAAGTTTTTTTTTCTCTCTATTTCAATAAAACATTCAGTAAATCATAAACTTACTTCATCCAACAGGAAATTAAAAGGAAAAAAAAAAAGAAAAAATCAGATGCCAATTGATTTTGTGACTTTTCAGAAAAGGGTAAAACTGATACTGATATTTGATTAGTCTCTAATGCTAATTATTCAGTCTGCTTTTATTCAAGTCCAAGAAACTGGACTCTACTGACAGATCACTAAACCAGAATCAATGTCCCACCCTTTGTGTTAGTATATTTTACTAAAACTAACTGTGAATGCGTTCGTGTTCCTGGCTGTTGCAATGTACTAGCCCAGAATGAGAGAGCACCTGAACTGAGAACTAAGTAGAATAATCTAATAAAATGTTCTAGTTTATAGATCAGTTTATACTTTTCCAAGCCTACAATTTAGACAAAGTAATAAAGTTCACTTTGCTTGATGTGCTGAAGTGAGCAGAGCGCTACAATACGGTTATAATAATTATGTACATTTGAAAGATACACAGCTAATTATAAAAGTCAAGTCATATCTTGCTATTATTTCCATCCTCAGACTGAAGTTCTTCTCCCATCACAAATACTAACATTCATGTCAATAACTAATTCACATCAGCTAATTTAACTGGAAAATGTAATTGGGTTTAAACACACTTGTGTATGGGAATACTAACTAAATTAGTTCATATTTTCATTTGCAAATAAACCTTGACACAAAAAGGTTCAATGAAATTGAAGAAGTACAACCTGTGCACCAATCTTACATTGCAGTATTCTGTAGGACTGCATGAATTGCAAAGTGCCCATGTATAAAGTTGAAGAATGAAGCAAGAATTGGGCCAGTTATGGGTCTCATAACTTGACAGTGTTATTTACTGGAGAGTACAGCTTTAATATTAAAATCACAATGTAAACAAATCCCAGCGCATGACCTAGTTCTGTAACAGACTGAGTTCTTGATGTTTAATTTAGGTAGAGGTCCATCCTACAAATATACCAAGCTACATGCTGAAAGGTCCAGTCTTAAGCACTACGTGACCTGAAATCCACCACATCAGCTTTTTTCTGTTGGTACGTTTAATGTTGCTCTCACTGAAAGGTTTTAGAAAGAGTTCTATTTCTCTCCTTCCTTCATGTACTTTGAATGTAGCCAGTTTCACGATCGCCACAGTGGTTCCAAATCTTGATTAGAATACAGATAACAAAACTGATTTTCCCGTTTATGCAACAAAGGAAATATTTAAGAGAGAGGATGAGACTGCAAACCCACAAAAACAGTTTCAGGTATTTTCCTGCCTATTTGACACAGCGGATTAGTTTCAAATAGACTGTGACCCTGTCATTTTAATTCCTGTTTTTGCCTCCTCCCATTACTCTCATATAAAAGGAAAAAGCACAAGACAGAATTCTGAGGAACCTACAAACAAGGTACCAGGTGTACAGGGAGGAGAGAGTACACATTCCCTGAAAGGACTAGGGCATGATATAAGTTTAGCAAGGCTCTAAAGCAGTTCTCAGTCAGAGAGCGCCAACTGTTCCATGAGTGCAAGAAAACAGAGACTCTAAAGCAATAATTCTCAACCAGATGCCCCGACAACCCTGGGGTGCTACAATTCCCTCTGCCCTCCCTCCCCCAGCAAAATAAACCCAGAAATTTCAAATTGGAATCTATTTTGTCCCCAGACTAATGAGGTTGGGAATCACATGTCTAAAGGTGGTCAAATGTTGGGGCCTCTCATCTGATGTGGCGCACAGGCCAGTCATCTGGCCTACAGCCTTGGTAGGGGGGTCTTCTTGCAGCAGCAGTGTCTGGGCAAGACCCAGCAGTACCACAGCCCCAGCAGCACCGCAAGAAGCCCAGTGTCACTGATGCCTGGCTGCCACTGTGGGCCTTTCTGCAGTGCTGCTCAGGCTCCAGCTCTTACCAGCCTGGTTACCAAGCACCGGTGCCAAACCAGTAGCACTGGAGCCCCAGCAGCATGTGGGAAGAAGCCTGGCACCACTTGTTTCTGAGACTATAGCCCAGTGCCCACGATACCAGACATCTTCCCTCCAGGGCCCAGAATAGCCAGAGCAGGCATGGGCCTGAAACAGGGAGGTTTCACAGGCCCAATCTGGCCCTCTGGCCCAGGGGGCTGGCTACCATGTGCCATCCATCCAGTCCTGCACCACTATCCCAGCCCCTAGGGCCACACGTGTTTGACACCCCCAGCACACAGGTAATCTTTTCAAAGCAATGGAAGCCCTCAAAGACGTTTCAGCGCCCCTGAAAAATTCAAAAGGCAAGCTGATCATTCTGATCTACAAAGCAAAAAGGAAATGACTGGGCTTTCTACAAAGGAGAAGTGGCAGGTTTGAGCAGTCTTACTTCATCTGCTACCAGACCTTCCAGAAAGTTACAAGCTCCCAAATCCTGGGTTTGAATCCACCACCCTGACCGCAGCAGGCTGCTGGCAGCTCTCAAACCTCGCACGTGCTTCCTGAGCTGCAGCACTACCACGCTGCTCAGCCCTCTAACCTTATCCCCACTCCTTCAGTGGGTTTCGGGAGGAACGATGATGTGGCAATGGGGGGGGGAGGGGGACTCTCTCTGGTGGGAAGGCAGCGCACGTGCTATAGGCCGATCAGTGCGCGTGCCAGGTTACACAGGGCTGCCCTTCAAGCTGCCTGCGTTTTGCAGAAATCAGACTAAGTGACAATGCCGGAGACTGGGCCTCTCCTCCTCGCTAAGGGAGAAGACTAGGCTGGCTGCCTTTACATATTTTTTAAAGCAAAATATTGATTCATCTTGTGTTCAGGAAAAAAAAAAAAAAGGCATGGGGTGGACAGTTGCCGGTCTAAGGACACAGGCAGACACGGTTCTTTGGGTAGATGCGATATCTTTTATTACACCAACTAAACAGTTGGAAAATTTCTTCTGTGCGAGCTTTGGAGCACAGACACCCAGAGAGGAACTCTGTTGCCCGGGCTTCTCTCTCATCTCCCAGCCCCCCCCACCCCTGCCCTGGCCGTCAGCGGGGCAAGGATCCCA